GGAGTGGGGGTCCTCAGAGTGATGCTCCTCTTGGCTCTTTTCAACTATCTAGGGAATTCATGTTTCAAAAAGCTATGTCACTTGGTTAAAACTAAAAATTATCTACCATATTTACTCGTGTATAAGCTGAGTTTTCCAGCACATTTTTAATGCAGTTTTTGTGGTAAAATTAGGTGGCGCGGCTGATATTTGGGTGGCCTTATACTCGAGTAGCTGCTGTCTATTGCGATATCTACTAAGATCAAATTTAAAGGGTCCACAGAATTCTTTACATGGAGAGTCCCTCCCAAAAGGGTTGCAATGAAGTGTGCCTGGTGCGGGTCGCCCCTCCTAACCTCCGGCTTAACACCAGCAGCACAGGGAAATGCACTGAACTGGACTGCGCCTGCTGACACCCTGGACTCAGACTGGCGTCGTTCTTCTTGTTGCTTCAAAGGAACATCAGGAGAATCTTGTGCGCATGTATGACAGGAGTGACGAGATTCCAGGCCACGTGTCTGCTATCTAGGGCGACAGAGATTGCCCCCCACCCCGTGGACTGCTGTATGTAGCAGTCCCCATTTCTCTCCGTGGAGGAGCGAAGAGGAAAGGCGGCACTTGTGAGTGGTGGAGGAGAAAGGGGAGGCCCACAAACTTGTTATGGATGGAGCTGGAAGATGTCTCTGGGACTGATTCCCTCTGTACTCTCTCGTAGGACTGACTACTTTTAACAAGCCTGAAATGCAAATGAATTTCACTGAAGGAAAAAATTTTAAATCGCAGGTTTGATGAGGTGAAAATGCAACTCCTGGTTTAAAATGTTTTTAGAAAAGGTGACCTTAATTGCAGGGTGCAACTTACTGTAGAAGGGTTTAGAGACTTGTCCACGTAGAGCCGTTTGATGAGTTTCAGGGAGTAAAAGGAACTGAGCTTGTTCACATCCGATGTGACTGTCTGAAAGCCAAAGGGCACGTCTTTGACATTTTCAAAATGAAGGACCTGTTAGGAGAAGAGAGCCGTTAGCCACAGAGCATCTCCGGTGAAGAACAGACGTCTCTTCTCCAAAGCCCACTCAGTTTCAAGTGTAGCTCCTTCATCTTGGCCCAGGTAACACTTCCTGAATGGTAGGAGTACTTTATGAGGACTTAAAGATACCAGATGATGCTTCCTGTGTAAATGCTTATAAGCGCACAGAAAGAGAACCTTTGTTGGGTCTCAGGATGAACCACATAGGACTTTTCATGAAATGGAATTAAACAGAAATTTACCTACTATCAAGAAGCACAAGAAAGCCTAAAATGTTGCTGTCTGGAAAAGCATACTAGATAGATGAATGATAGGTGGGCGGGTGGGCGTTTGGATGGATGGATGGATGGATACACTCACTGCAATTGAGTCAATTCCAACTCATAGCAACCCTGTAGGATAGAGGAGAACTGCCTTTGTTGGTTCACTGGAGTAGAAACCTTGTCTTTCTCCTGCAGTTCAAACCTATGACTTTTCAGTTAGCAGCCCAACTCTGTAAGCACTAGGCCACCAGAGCTCCTCATTCTATTTCACCTACCACTTTCAGAGGCTTGACTGTACATCTTCTTAGTTCATGCTTTCCACATGAGCTGCTCAAGCCCAAAGGACTATTCACAAACAGTAAGTGAACACAACCCAGCTTGTGACTTGAGGTAGATCATTTAAATGTTTACTTCTCTATTAAAATAAGCATGGGTATATCACATGGTCACAGGCAATTGAGCTTGCACCTTACAAATAAAACACAGTGCTTTAAATAAAGTTTGTGCAAAGGATGGTGATTTTTCCCCCTGTTGCAAAATAGGAAAGAAGCCCAGGGGGGTAGTGTCGTGCATCGGGCTGCCAGCTGCCAGCTCAGCAGTTCAAAAGCTCCAGCCTCTCTGTAGGACAAAAACAGGGCTTTCTACTCCCATCGAGAACTATAGTCTGGGAAACCCACAGAGGCAACTCTATTCTATCCTACATGGTTGCTATGAGTCAGGATCGATTTGATGCCAGGGTTTGTTTGTTTGTTTGTTTGTTTGGGCATAGGAGAGGGAGGTGCCACGCACACCCTTTTTCTGCCTGGGGTATTTGCTTGACTAGTCCTTACAAGACAATGAGAAACATGTTGGTTAACTTGCCCACGACCCTGCATTAGTGAAAAGACTCTAGGCCCTCTAGGCCCCTCGGGTGCACCCCATCACACCTGGGGCCTGTTCTAAACGTGGGCTGCTGGTGAGATCCACGAGCATCTCCATCGAGAGTCAGAGAAATGGCCCAGCCCTCCGTCCTGAAGAATCTTGACCACCATCCCCAACCCAGGTCTCCCTAGCCAGTGCCTGGGGCTTCCAATGACACGACTCCCACTCAGAGCAGAAACAAAGGTCTGGCCTTACCTGTCCAATTTCACTTGCTGTGTCACCTTTGGCACCGACTTGAGCAAGTGACAGGGACGTGGAGAGACAGAGTGGAGAGAAGAGCACATTGCCCGTCGGCTCCTTCTCACACAGTTGCTTGAACAGGTCAACTGCAAAAGCGGAGTTTGCCAGTCTCAGGGCGTCCATGGTGGGTCTAGAACCAAACGCAAGGGGCAGGCTTATTTTCTTCTGCTTCAGTGACCTGTGTTCTCAGCGGCAAGGAGCCCTGGTGTTGTAGTGGTTACATGCTGGACTGGGAGTCCAAAACTAGCTTTCTACTCCCATAAAGAGTTACCGTTTCGGAAGGCAATACTGAACCTCCAGAGAATACACAATGAGCAAAGCTCATGCGCTCGAGTTGAAAAAATTTATGGACAAGAAGTTTTTGAAATTGAATTGCGGCAGGCATGTCCAAGGAATACTTGGGGATTTGATCCTTTTATGAATCTTGTGATAGATGAATGTGTGGAGATGGCAACTAGTGGAAAACAGAGCAATACTGGAATGGTGGTGCTAAGAGGCAATAGTATCATCATGTTGGAGGCCTTGGAGCGAGGATAACAGCCATGTTCAGCAGTCTACATCAGTTGTTTCTACGTACCCCGCTTTCCAAAGGACCTGTTTTACTACAGTGTAAAAATGAGACTATGTACATTTTTCATGTTCAGTTTTGGTGTTGTTTTTTTTTGGTAAAATAGACTCTTGGAATCGTCACACACACAAAAAAGAGTTACAGGCTCGTTAACTCACAGGGCAGTTCTACCCTGTTCTCTAGAGTCACTTGGAGTCACCATGAACCCGAGGGCAGTGAGTTTGGTGTTTGGGGGTCTCAGTGGAATCCTGCCGCCCTAACAGTATCCTGTCCCCACCAACTGTGGTCTTTCCTAACCCCCTCTGACTCAGTGTTCACCCCGCACAGGTTGGGAGTCTATGAGGAGGCTTCAAAGCGTCGGTGGGGAAATCCCACTGTCTTTTCATTTCATTTCCCCGCTGACTCTCTGAAGGCCCCTGTGGAGCCAGCGTCTCCAGAGCATGTGCTCAGCCCGGGAGCCTTCCTTTGGGGGCGGGCTTGTGGCTGTTATTGCTAGTGACCACTGAGTCCATGTGCCTTGTGGTGACCTATGTGTGGGGGGCAGAGACGTGCTCCATAGGGTGTTCATGGCTGTAAGCTTTCAGAAGCAGAGAGGCAAACCCGTCTTCCCAAGGCTCTCTGGGTGGGTCTGAACCACCAACTTTCACCTCTTGGTAGAGTATTTAATCATGTGTGCCACCCAGACCCTCCTCAGTCAAGGAGCAGAGCCAAAGGGTTCCTTTCCTGGGAGAGAAGAGTGAACTTTAGTGAACTCATAAAGAAAGCCAGGGGAGGGAATCCAGGACAGATGATCCCTTCAGGACCAGTGGTGAGAGTGGCAATCCAGGAGAGTGGAGGAAAAGTGGGGTAGAAAGAGGCACTAATTGCAAGGATCTATATATAACCCTCTCCCTGGGGGATGGACAACAGAAAAGTAGGTGAAGGGAGATGTTGGACAGTGCAAGACAGGACAAAATAATAATAACTTATAAATAATCAAGGGTTCATGAGGGGGGTGGAAGGGAGAGAGGGGAAAAAATGAGGAGCTGATACCAAGGGCTCAAGTAGAAAGCAAATGTTTTGAGAATGATGACAGCAACAAATGTACAAATGTGCTTGACACAATGGATGGGTGGATGGATGGATGGATGGATGGATGGATGGATGGATGGATGGATGGATGGATGGCTTGTGATAAGAACTGTATGAGCACCCCAATAAAATGATTTTTAAAAGAAAACAATTTAAAAAATAAAAGAAAGAAAGCAAGAAAGCCAGGGGAACGAGCGAGAGAGTTATGATGAAACTTCTAGGCAAAAGTCCTAAGGTCTGGAGGGTCCTGTATGTGAGTGGCTCTGGGAGCAGAGCTGGCCTGGAATCCCCAACCTCAGGAGGAGGCTCAGCCACCATGAGGAACCCAGTGGTCAGAGTTGTGGACAGTCATGATCAAAAGGCACTGTTTCCATTGAACACATACTGTTTCCCTCTGTTGGGCTATGAATTAAGCCACACCAAGCTGATGTTTGTGAAGATCGAAGCCATTCAAATCACAGTGACTTGGGGTGGCTCACTGCTCCCCAGTGTGGTGGCGGGCACACAGAAGTGTCAACAGGCAGCAGGTTAGTCTTGGTTTTGTTGCACGTGCAGACCTACTGTGTGCAAGAATGTCATCTCCTTACACTTCTGCATCTCCTTCTCAGCGTGGGCAGTACTAGTTACTGATGCCGGGCTGCCCCCAGCACGTACTTGTATAGCATATACTTGGGGTAGGAAGCAAAGTGGAGATTAAAGGCAAGAGAGAAACTATGAATCCTGGAGTAGAGGCACTAACAGTGGGCACAAGACTACTGAGGGTGCCACAGAAGAAAGGCCTGGAGACTTGCCTCCACACAGATTACAGGCAGGAAGGGCCTATGGTAGCAGGTCTAGCCCATAGCACACGGCTCTGCCACGAGCTAGGCCGGCCAGCTCCCTGCAGCCCCTAAGACCCTTTCAGCAGAGGTCACAAAGTCACTGCCATTGAGTCAAGCCGCATTCATAGCGACCCTACAGGACAGGGTAGAATGGCCCATCAGTTTCCAAGATTCTAACTCTTTACAGGAGTAGGAAGCTTCATGGTTCTCCCTCGGAGCAGCTGGTGGTCTCAAACTGCTGACCCTGAGGCTAGCAGCCCAATAAGTAACCCACTATCCCACCACGTCAAAACTCTTCTCATAGTAATGCTAAGCTCTCATTTGCCTTTTCCACCCTCTTTTTCTTTTTTCACAAATACACAGCATCAACAGAGACTGCCTGGCCAGTCTTCTATTAGTTATTAGAGAGTTATTCAAATATTACAGATATTTGCATAGATGCAAAATGACATCACACTTCTCTCTATGTATGTGTGTGTCTTATTTTCTTTTTTTTT